ATTGCCAATCCGCCCGCGCCTCTAATCTGTATTATCTTCATCGTTGCTAGCTTAGATTATATCGAACGTGTTAATCAGTGATGAAGACCAAGATGAACTTTATTGGCCGCTAGTCTAATATCCTCCTTATAATTAGTATAAGCAAATATCGCGACCAGCGCGCTCTCCTCTTGTTTTTTCTAAAGCTCAATTATTGCGACCATCCATCACAACACGTCAGATGATCATCCACAGAAGACACTATTACTGGTATTGTCTGGTAAACTAGAGTCAACGTTCCTGGAGTTAGGAAAGCGTGGCTGAAATCAACCAAAACAAATGTCGATGCTTTCATAAGCGTAGCAATTGTGTATTTACGGTATGAAAAACGTATGCTCCAGAACCGTATACTTGATGTCAATGATCACGAAATCATTTTCTACATTTCTATCAATTCTGATAATTATTAGAAAATATTATTTGCCGATTGAGAGTATGAATCTGCAAGCGTTTCCCTGTTTGGTAATATCGATTTAAGCAGCTCTTAGTATTGGGTTAATGTCTCTGTAACACTTTGCCCTCGCGGCAGTCTACATACCGCCGCATCGGCGGAATTGATAGAGCGCTACGCTTATCCCATATAACTTTTAGGGATAACTCAAAATTGCATTTAGGTCCTAATGCTCGCTACCCCAAATGATGCACTTTTTCTTCTCACTATTTTATAGACTCGTTCAGATTATCCAACTCGCTCCACAGGCCATAACGCCCCTCTTAATACGCGATTTAGACTAGACAATAGGAGCAACTCATCTGCATAGCGTAACATCATGATTGACTTATGTTGATGTAGGCAAATCTGCACGCAAATTTTTATTATTATAACGCGATATTGAACTGTCCTCCATCCAAAATCGTGTACGGCTATGAGTAGAGGGGCTGTTTTGTTAGTTTTCTTCTCAAGTAAATTTAGCAAATGTGTTATCGGTATAATACGATTGTTCGTGACACACATTCATGTTGATTGCGATTTGGTACGCAGCTACTAAAAGGAACACAAGTAGAAACTAATGTTGTCGTTTTATTCACTACAGGCAGTTTATTTTCGATGTTAACAACATACACAGTTGTGTAAAAAACAAAAAAACAAAACAAAAAGAGTTCTATATTAACCCGTGCTATGCATGTATACGTACTGAGAGATCGAACAGGTGTTAACAGCTTTTCAGTTAGATAGCTATAAAGTCAATATTTTTAGGCAATGCCGCATCGGGTCGGCGCCAGCGTCATTTCAAAGTTCAAATTTAACAGTGGTAGACAAACTGAAATTGTCAGAATGCTCTTAGCCAGACTTACATAGAGCACCTCGAAGACGAGCAAAATTTCCGCAAAAAAATCGGTTTACCATACAATGTGATCGCGACGAAGGCTGCCCAAGCCCATGAAAAATTGCGCTGTCTATGGTTAAGAAGCGTTATCGGACGAAACCAAAGATGATTCAGCCCTTTTCATTCTAAGGATTTCGATGTGAAAGAAGACTGACTGACTGACTGACTGACCGACCGACCGACCAATTACGCAAAACATTGATGAAATTGTTACGAAAGTTGGGCAAGATCTACGCCTAAGTAGATATGACATCGCCAAGGAAGTAAATATTCATCACCAAACGCTTAAAGCTCACTAGAAAAAAAAAAGCTCGATATTTGAACGCCACAAAAAACCTACTCGATTGTATTTTTCCGTCTAGAAAACTCTATCGAAATCGGGCCGCCTCTGAAGTGAAGACAGGCTACGTAGTCTGTAGCAAAGCCCGGGCTGGCACCAACGAAAAAATGATGCCATGTATTTGGTGGGATTGAAAGAAATTTGTACATTATGAGCCGCCGCTGCTGCTGCTGTCGCTTGCCAAGACAATTGATCAGGAAGAGTTCGATTATCAGCAACTAACAAGATTACAACAAGCCATTGAAAAACATCAACCGAAATCCTTGAGCAGGACCTTCGTCGTCCTACACCATGATAATGTTGGGTCCCATACATCTTTAGCTAGCCGGAAAAATTGAGGGAAGTCGAATAGGAAATTTTAACCCATCAATCGCATGGTGTTCGTTTCAGTCTCCGCCAAGCTTTCTTCACGGTTCTAATATGGCTTTGATGGCCGGAGACGGAAATCAAATTTTTCACTCAGAAGCCAACAATGTGATCGTTACTAGAAAGGTTAGAGAGATACCACTTTATATCCAAATGCTAACTGGATTGGGTGTGTATATGTTGCATAGTACAATGAGGAGCTTGTACAAATCGAAATACGAATGTAACTAGTTAGTTTCTTCTTGGAATAAATTTTAGCTCACATTGAATGAACGTTACAAGTTACACGGTGAAAAAGTAGCCCTCAGAGGGGTTTTGTTGCTAAAGAGAATCAGGAATAGAGAACATTTGGGTATAGTACCCGTGGCTAGATTTAACAGAACTCAAACTCACACCGGTCACACAGGAATTTTTAATGATATTAGTCATCATTTTATTTTGATATTATCATCGCGGGTCGAACATCACCTGCTCATCGGAAAACGGGCGTTTGGCGTAAACTATCGTTGATCTGTACAGCTTTCCTTCTGTTTCGGTAAAAGTCGTTTTGCTACAGTCTGCATATATGTGGTTGAAATGAATAGCGTACGTGTCTGTATAATTATGTCAATCGGACCTAGTCAAGGGCAATGGCCAATAACTACCTCCATTGAACAAACTGATGTTTTCTGCATTTCAAACTGATGCAATTCTGCATGGTTTTTTTTTTTTCTTTTTAAGTTCATGCGGTGTCATTGGATTCAACCATGCATAAGGTTTCCACCCACACAGCGTCGGTTATTACCTGTTCGCTTAGTGGCAGCCATGTTTGTTGTTTACTATAACTATATTATGCACATGCAATAACCTGAGAAGCCGTTTCGGCCGCGTACCGGTATCGAACACAGGGATCTTTGAAAGCGATTTTAAAACAATCCAATTTAGTAGAACATGTGTAAGGAAATATGCACTTATATTCCTTGACCCGTGAGAGAACACAAGTCAAGATATTCTATACACGAATGAAAATAGATTGTTGTCTTTCATTAAAAGAAAAACATCAACATCGCTGATTTTCAGGACGACTGTCGACGGATTCAGTGAGATAAGATACGTAAAAACGTACTCATTTTACATATGTCCGTGTTTATATTTTTGATGAGCGCACTGTAAACATAAAAACACATAGCCAATCAGCGACTATTTCAGCCATTGCTATGTATAAATTTAGCGAGTTTTTAGTAACGAAAGAGCAAACAGCAATCGCTGTACTATTAAAAAATAAGACCGATTTTCTGTCAGCTATGCTAGTGTATTAAATAGTAAATTTAGTCAGATTTTTCCCTTACAAAAAAGGGCCACATCTATCGGCAAAGAATTGGTACCATTTTTAAGAACATTAAGCGTTTTATAGATTTTTTATCAGTGCTGGATTAGGCTTATTATATAGAGTTTGGTTGGGGCGGGCTTGGAAGCGTCTGTGTTATGAGTGATATGTTTATTAATAACAAAAGCTATATATAAAACAAGCAGTTTCTGTGATTAACTGTCTATAACTTCGTGTATTCGAGTTGTTCAATGGACTGTCTGCAACTGGTTGAGGCTTATATTCATATATATATATATAGCATTGATAAATATATAATTCAGTTTTTAGATAGTATTTCATAACATAAATTATCCATAGTAACTTGGTATATATGCGGTTCATTTACATGATTTGTGTCGAACGCACAGTGCGGCCTAGAGGATAATACAATTAGATAAAGTCAAAATGTCGGTAAAAACCGTTGGTCAGCTTAATCGCACATCTGGACTCCACCGTCAACGCTGAGCAATTTCTATCAGTCTCCGTGCAGTTCGAACAGTAAAAAATTACCATTAGTCCGACTAGAAAGACTAAAAGTTTTTCAGCACCCTATCCTGCTTCCTTATAAAGGAAACACGATCAGGTCGTAGCGTCTGTAAGCCCTGCACAATAAGAACTCCGATATTCTAGGAAACCCCCATCATAAGCTAATAGATCACCACAAACATGTCCATACGTTATCACGGTAATCCCAAAAATTGTAATTAATGAACACAAATGACTTTCACAAGCTAAATCACACTTATAGTATAACCCCAAAAAAAACGGTACCGTTCCTCTATGTTTGCGCATGCAATACAGGCCCGAGTTTAAGGCCATTCGTTTGTTCTGGTGAACAAGAAATATTCCCTGAAACAGTGTAATGAACACAGTTTCCATGCAACATATAGTAACGTTTGCAGAAGTAGCGCTATGGTTATGAAGACGAACTTAGATAACATAGAAGATATAGTATAAATAATGGGACGTTCCATGGGACAGGCAACGGCTAGTCTATCCAATACCAGGCAAATGAAAAATATGTTTTTCGTGAACTAAAAGGCCCTATTAGGCTGAACTATTCTATAAATTGCCAGATTAAACGCGCGGAGAACAAGCTCAGCTCCTAAAATATTAACAAAATATTATCTAAATATGCTACATTCATTAATAGTTTTCTAACAATTATACTGCATCTGTCTTCTAACAAGCTGTACGTGGATATTGCGCAATGTTGAAAGCCAATGAACAAAAAAGTTTAACGACAAGCAAACCATCTCACGATATCTAAAGGTCAATACGGCACGTTAGTCGCATGCATCAGCACCAAACAGTCGTGCCAGACTAAGAGTCAACCTGAATCCGTGGCAAGGGCTCACGGGTGTCCGACGAATGGAAAGAAGAAATTAAGGGGAATACCGTTCGCCAGACTGATACTTGACTTTGCTCTGTTCAACGCCTAGACGAGCAGCAGAAGGACGTTAGCAACTGACCGATAGCGTCTGCAGAAATTGAAGTGCCTTTCCGTCTGATCGAAGCATTTGATAAATACATAGTGCTGAAAGTTAACAACAAGCTAGTTGTTCTTCATTTTAACCGGATGGCAACTCTGGAGTTCCCCTTAAGTTTGCCAGAGATGGCAACGTATGTGTACGACCGCCTGGACCCGAGGACCAAAGATTGGCCTCTTATAGGAAACCCGCTGTTCCCACTTGTAGTCTGTGGAGGTTACCTCTGGTTTGTATATGGATTAGGGCCTAAGCTCATGAAAACCCGTGACGCACTTGATTTACGCTGGGCTATTCGATTGCACAACTTATTTATGGTAGTTTCAAATGCTTATTTTTTCTGCGCGTTCCTGTCCAACTCGTATTTAGCCAACTACAACTTCTGGTGCCAAGGGATGATGTACGCAACAGATTTGAATAGTCTTCGGATTGTTAGCCTCGGATGGTGGTATCTTCTTGTGCGGTCACTTGACCTTCTGGATACAGTATTTTTCGTGTTACGTAAGAAGTTCAGCCATGTAACTTTTCAACATGTGTCTCACCATTTTTGCTGCATTTTCTTTGGTCACATCTGGCTCTCACTGGGCATGGATGGCCAAAGCCTCTTCGGACTAAGTGTCAACTCTGCGGTTCATGTAATAATGTACATGTACTATTTTTTGGCATCATTTGGATCTCATATGAAGCCGTATCTGTGGTGGAAAAAATATTTGACAGTTATTCAAATATACCAACATTTTGCTGTGATCGGCCACGGACTCATCCCACTATTCTATAACTGTGGCTATCCAAAGTTCTTCATCTACTTAGCTTTGCCTCAGGGACTGTTGGGACTTGTCCTGTTTTTGAACTTCTATGTGCTTACATACACTGAGAAAAATAGGTTTTTCGATATCTTTTCTACTTCTGTTTGTATCCTAAGCGACGACAACGACCCAACAAAACCCTACAAATCAAAGGCGTCTTTCGGAAACTACAAGCACCAGCAAATCAAAAGTGAAGCTGAAGAAGAGTTATTAGATAAAACGAAGAAAATGTCTTAATTGGAGTATGAATACTTTGTGTGTGTACGCGCACGTGCTACATTATAGAATATTTACGATAAGACCTCAAATCTAAAAAGGAGCCACATGCTCGACTGTCGTAAAAAGACACGCTAATTACCGTAAGCGTTCCTGTCGTTTGGACTAGAACTCAGTATTTAACAAATGAAGATAACTTAATACGAAATGGTTGTATCTTACGGGCTAAGGCTTCAATCGTGACACAGTATCCATAGATCGAACAAAATTAGGTTCAGTAACACACATTACTTGAATCTATCCCTATTCATTTATTAGTTCCGGAAGTAAAGCTTCCTCCACATTATTTTGCTTTCAATAGTCCTTCCAAGCTTCTTTCACCAAGCTATTTACATACGACATTACGCTGCACCTTCGATTTTTTGCAGTAAAAAAATCATTTATATAGGATCTTAATATTAGTTACTACGCTAAAGCTAAACATTGAAGATTCTGCATAAGTTCTAATTTGTTGGCTAGATAATAAAAAATTCTACGTTCGCCAGTTAGGTATTACTTTAGACAGCTAAAATCAGATTTGTCGGGATCCGAACCAAAACGACCGTAAGTGCTGTTTAACTGTTACCACAAAAAATGCTACGCACGGTTACAGTCTACATCGGGTACTAGGTCGATCTCATGAACTGCATTCATTTAATAAACGAATGGGAGTAATTACCGTGTATATATTAGGGAAGATGCTGTAAGAAGAATAACCTACTCATTAGACCTTAATGTAATAAAGGCCTTATACAGACTTTCAAGCTGTCGGAGCCTATTCCACAGTTTTCAAGACAAAACTGAAAATAGATAGCGTTTTTTTGATCCCTACTAAATAACTGAACTTCGATAGATCGACATCAGATATTTTTAGTATTGTTTTTTCCAGAGTTCTTATAGGTACGCTTATATGTAATAATTATAATTATTATTAACTATAATTTTTAGACTAGGTTTTTCTGAAGTTTAGCTCACTAGGTATTTCAAAATGAAGTTTTTAGTATCAATATGACGAAAATTGTCCCATTTTAACAGCAATTGCTTGCCATGTCGGCTTGCAATAGAGGTCACTATAAGAGTAGGTGTGCTAAATTGGTACGGAAGGTTTCATACTGTTCCATTCACCGAGACCCGAGAAACTGCAGTACATAGGACCAGCGTCGTTCTCATAAAGCTCAGTATTTTAGGAAGAATCTAAAAATAACCGTTTTAATATTCGTATTGAAATTTTCTCAATTGTTTTTTTTTACAATAGCGAAATTTTAATACATTCAGACCAAACCACCCTGACATTTGTTGAGAAACGGCATTCATACGATGTTTTAATCCCTTCACTATGGGCACACAACGGGCATATTGTAGTGGGTTATAAAGTAACACTCGATAAGCAGTTCGTCAGTGAAAATTTACGTGACGTAGCCTCCTATACGTTTTGTTAATAGAAAATTTCAGCATAGATCGATTATGATTTCATCCATATCGCAAAGTTTACGTTAGTGTTGTTTTCATTTAACGTTTTAAATCTACGTCAAAATGAACGCGTGCAGATAAACGCTACAAGGCCACGAGCCGCCTCGTCAGTGTCAAATGGAAATAATAGTTGTACTGATAAATCAATAGAGGATTTTTACTCGATAAAGTAGATATATTAGGAAATATTTTTCCTATTATGTAATACTTGAACATGTACCGATAGTGTGTGATGACGGTTTTTCCGCGAGCGAACCATATATTTAACGTGGAAATGCCTTTTCCGCCTAATCAGTAGTTGGTGACGGTTGTGATGAATAGGAAGCAATGGAGCTGCACAGTAACGGGAAAAGGTGTAACACATTTCGGTCACATCTCACTACTAGAACTACTTTCCAATTTTATATGTCCGTATAATGTTTGAAAAGTGTGATGAATTCCCGTGCTAATAAACCAGTGAACAGATGTACTCGTTTTTTCAGTCCTGTGTTTCATTGCTCTGTTCGTCCTATAACGTTATCAAAGGCTGACCGCAATAACGTCCCTGTGCTAAGGAAGAACTCCGGCGGACCGCGAATCTACTAAAACAAATTTAGTGTAGTGGAAGCCGGATATATCTGCAAGGTACAAGGTGATCCCACTTCATGGACGAATGCCTAAAGACAGTATCAAGTATAAAAGAGAAAGATATATATCTGTATTAAGGCTGTCAAACTTTCGCAATGCGATTGTTTATCTGTTTGAGCTATGGGAAAAACATTTCTTTACAGTTAGATGTTATTAAACGATGCCTAAAGTTATTCGTTGAGATTAAGATTGATGAACGTTAGCTGCGAAACGCGCCGCACCGATTTGAAGCCGTTGTTGCGGAGCGAATTCTAGAATTTTGAAGCATCTTGCACACCTAACTATAACGTAGCCGTCTACGAGAAAGCCCACCTTACCAATGGAAAATTTTCCGAGTACATCAATACAAAAAAGTTACGTACGGGCATAGTAGTTCCCGTGCCAAGTATATTCGACAAGCAATTCAGGCTCAGATTTGAGCAATCTACATGTATGTTATCAATTTTCGAAAGGTTCAAACCTACGCTGAAATTACCCTACCATTGTAAAATGCTCTCAAGACTATTTGCATTACCTAGTATATTATAGGTGATCAAACGGGACTACATCGATGAGCAACTAGTAGAAATAATCAGCTTGTAGAATAGAGAATGTTCAGCAGTAATACGTAATCTTTTAATATGAGTTTATACATATTTTTGAAATCTAGTTTCTAAAACTAGGTTCGATGGCTTTTTCTTTATTATGTGAAATGATCGACCGTGGTAAATAACATAAACAAATCAACCATGGGCAAATCCTGTGAACGCATGTACATTTTATTCGAACTATTAGAAGATACAGACCCCTGCACCAAAAACACGGTATAGCTGTAGAAATCTCTTACACTTTTATCGAATTATAAAATAAACCGACGTTGAATAGATGTTCTCGAATCATGTATTTATGTAAGGGGTTATAGAGAGCTAATGACTGTGGAATACACCTATCGTTAACGCTATTGCAATTATCTTCTACATCAATAGGAACAACATCAGGAAAGCAAAGTTAGCTTCAAGTTTTTGGGTCTATTTAGAAATGCACTGGGCTTTTGTGGGGTTTAGGTCGAGATCATTTAAAGAAATCACAGGCATCAATCGAGAAATTTGTTTTACTCATAGATTATCGATCATCGTTCATTCCGTTTTCGGTAACCTTGAATTGCCATACTGAGCAGGGCCATTAAGAACGAGTATGAATTTCGCTAGGCATAGTTTCTCCAAGTTGGTTAACTATTAACTTCGTGGCAGAAGCTTATGTCAAATGATAAACATCTCCGATAAAGTTTTGCTTTATATTATTTGTGGCCCGCCGATTTATACAGCAAAAACATTATGTTTGCGTCGCGTGAGCAGGTAAGATCCAATGAAGAGGACTGTGATAGACTCAGATGGAGCAGGGTCATGCTTCTGAATAAAATCGACTCGTTTGTGGTTTAGGATGCATATTGATTCCGCCAGCCCGGTAAATACCAGATGTACCAAATGGTACTCATTCGAAACGGCCGAATGTGATCGATGTCAACCCAACAAGAGCTCATGCCTTTACCCTCTATGTGCATCAAGTTCTTTTTCTATCTAGTTACCCGAAATTTTCACTCTCCGATAACGGGCGGCTGTATACTGCGAGCGTACTTGAGATATTTTGTTGTGAACGTTACCGCTATTCCAGCCACAATTGAACATGCGAAACGTTTTGCTGGTACCACCAAGCCGGACATTGTTGACCCTTAAAGAACACGACCCATCACAGATGTTCCTAATGTGTCATAATACGCAATGATAACGGGTCTGAATGGTTAGACATCTGCTTAAACGTCAGGCACGCATTAATCTTTGTCTAAGACGAGCAAAAAAATCCTAACCTATCCGATAGATAAGAAACAATAGAGCGCATCCATCTGACGGCGGACAAACGACGAAGCCGATTTGGAACTGTATCACAATATGTGAAAAGCTTAGTTCGGTTCGTTCCAGAAGCCCATGTAACGGGTGCGTGTTTGAAAATGGCACGCCAATCGGTGAAGTACCCGTTAAAACTCACTTGCATCTAATGAACATTCCTTTGTGAACTTTAGAAGCTACAAAAAATTTATTTGCATCCAATCAAGCAATCCGAGAACAATGAGAAAAACTTGTCGAGAGTGGCCGACCATGTCCCAAGAGCGCCTTACAAACATAGATTTTTTCAGTAACAGAAGCAACATGACTACCGCCTACTGGGCAGCAATGGAAACGAACTTTCATGGGTAGTAGAATTAGCATCGAGTGACCTAGTCTCTTAACAGACAGAAAGTCGTCATTTTGTCACAGTAGCAGGAATAATTGTAATAAAAAGTGGTTTTACTTGTGTAGTAAATATGTAGTAAGGACACCCCAATATAGTTTCTAAGGATGCAATAAAATATTCGGATATGAACCCGTAGCTAGTGTATTTTAGTCATATGTTAACCATAACATAGTGCTAGGGTAATTCTAGCTATGTCAGTAATATGTCCCGGTATGTCCTACCACAATTATGTCCAGTTAATATGCACATCAATTTTCGCAACCAGCAATACCATTTTAACAAACATGAGATGAGGACCCAATGACCTTCAGGCCATTCTGAATTATATATATATAATAACACTAATATACATATTTAGAAAATATTCCAAATGTCTGTCTCAATCATTACAGCTCATTCTAACTATTTCATCGTGCAGTATAATTAAAACAGTAACTAGAAAGCCTCGATCACCATTTTGCTATTAACTTGTTTAGGGTTCAAATATTAGCCTTTGACGACCCGCATTTTGAGCACTAACTTTCAACTTTACAGAATCGTTGCTATGTCTAGGTAAGTTTTAACAAAAACACGATTATCATATTAGGTGGCCCGCGTGATTCGCGGACCTGCATGCC